TTCCTGAGGTTCTTTATAGGAGTCACTGTGAGAACCAACCAGTGGCTTGTATGGAGCTTCTGGGCATCAGACGAGGATCGGGAGCTGGTAGCTAACTCAGAACTGATGCTACAGTTGCTGGTGATCACTTTGTGGGTAGCGACCTACGGACTGAGACCCTCTGGTTTAGTACAAGACAGAGCTGTGTATAAAGAGTGACATTCCCACTCACCTCTAGCTTATTGTTATGTGCATAGGGAAAGAAACAAGTCCTCTACCCAAGACACACAATGAAAAGCAGAGGACTTAGTTTGTCTAGCATGTCCCCTTCCCCAAAGATCCACTATCTATCTCGTGGACAGGAAATACCAACTGGCCACTGCTACCTCTCCCCACTTTCTCCATAAAGCCATCCAATTTCCCTGTACGATTCTGATCCTGCAGGCCTCAGAATTCACTTGGAATTTTGCCAGACTACAGTCTAAATTTGGCCCAAGTAAGACCTGTAGGTTTATTGGTGTGGGAGGGTGGGGAGAGGTTGGGGCGGGGCGGGGGGTACTGTTTTGTTTTTACCTATTCAGAGCAAGCCCCTCTGAAATAAAGCTGGTAAATAAAACATTCAAGAATCTTCTCCAGCAAGGGTTGCGAGCAGGCAGTTTCATTTAGACCAGTGGTTCTCAAACTTTTGCACTGGTGATCCCTTTCACACAGCAAGCCTTTGAGTGCGACCCCCCCACCTTATAAATTAAAAACACTTTTTTACATATTTAACACCAAGATAAATGCTGGAGGCAAGCGGGGTTTCGGGTGGAGGCTGACAGCTCGCGACCCCCCATGTAATAACCTCACGACCCCCTCAGGGGTCCCAACCCGCAGTTTGAGAACCTCTGATTTAGCCTGTGCTGAGTGTTTACCACCTGTTTTCTGAGCATCCAGATCAGCTACAGATTTATTGCAAAGGACGGAGTCCAGATGAGTATTCCTTCTTGAGGAATAGTTTATTCCTTCCTCCCCCAAGCATCCTGCTTATCACATGCTCACTGTGTGCCTAGCTAGTTATGCACACCATATTTTAAATGCATAAATACTTGTTTGTCAAGATTCCTTCTTTCCTCTGCTCCTTGAGAAAGGCCCTGAAGCCCTGCCTGTTCCATGCAGTATCCATTACAGCTGCCTGGAACACACCTCACTTCGGGTTTGCTGTAAATAGTATTGTACTTTGATTGCCGTTTTGCCGTTTGCTCCACTCAAAGTGCCACATATGTGTCCAATGCTATATAACAGTTAAGACTTCCAGTTTTCAGTTTCTAGTCTTATTCATTTCTGGCGTCTATTTCTGGCTGCTTGGTCACTTCCTTGGCAAATCAGCTTTTTGATTGTTGTGAAAACACAGATTTCAGCGGAAATCATTTGTTTCAGCAGCAGAGAAATAAGCCCCAAAGTTAAAAAAAAACTTGTAAGAGCTCTTTTAAAACAGTGTTGTTATCTGGGTTCTCACACTGCCAAAAATCACGCACCACTTCTTGTTGCCACCAAGAAGTGAGCCAAAGAGGACATGAATATGATGTGACACAGGTTGCCTTTTACAGTGGCCAGCATGTGAATTCTGCTTTGCCGTTTTCTGTGTTTTTCTCAGTACTTATTGTTTAAAAGTAGATTCTTGAAAAGTTTCAATCTGGGTTGGTTAACCAATTGTTTTCAGTTTGAACCAAAACCCAGCGTCTCTAACAACACAGTATGTAGTGTTTACTTAACACTTTCTAAACATTAACTTAGCACTCCTTCTCAGGCATGAGATCAGAATAAGAGGTGACTCAAATTCCTTCCAAAACACAAGCCCCATCCACTGATGAAGCCACAATGAAATGCTGCCCAAATTAGATTGTTCAAATGTTAATTTGCTTGACCCACTTCTTTCTTGTGTACTTTGATCAGCAGTGAAATAGTTAATAAAGTTAACATTTAAATTGCCATCATTAAGCTTCAGTGTTAATGTAAAATTGAGGTAAATGAGAGCAATTCACACTCCCCTCTGAGCTCATTCAGGCTGCCTGCAGACTCAGGCAGACAATGCTGCACCAGTGTCTATTATGAAAGGCTAGAGCAGTGGTTCTCAACCTTTACCATTGTGGGCCACATATGCGTTATCTGGGCCCCATCCACACAATATATACTACAGTAACTCCCCACTTAACTTCCTCTCGCTTAACGTTGTTTCGATTTTACGTCCCTGCTCCATTACAGAACATGCTTGTTTAAAGTTGTGCAACGCTCCCTTACAACGCTGTTTGGCCGCCTGCTTTGTCCACGGCTGGCAGCCCCCCTATCAGCTCCCCTACGCCCCCCCCCCAGTGCCTCCCGCCCACTAGCAGACCCCGCGGATCAACGCCTTCCCCCTGCTGCCCCCAGCCTCCTGCCCGTGGCAATCAGCTGTCTTGCAGCGATCAGGAGGGAGGGGGGAGGAGCGAGGACAAGGCGTGTGGAGCCAAGGGGGAGGAGGTGGAGTGGGGGGGGAGAAGAGGTGGGTTAAGGGTGGGGGCTTGGGGGAAGGGGTGGAGTGGGCGGGCTGAGGGTTGACCCCTCCGCCCCCAGCAAAGTCGGTGCCTGTGCTTGCAAGAACAGCAAGAGGAGCAGGGGGACAATCCACCCTCTTCCACTCTCTGACTCCACCACCTCAGCCAAGCTTCATAGTCAGCGTTGATGACTGTAGTGTTAAATTGTTTCTTTAAAATTGTTTAAAACTTATACCTTATCAACTTGCTTGTTTAAAATTGTTTAAAATGTACCTAATGCCTTTTGTCTGGCAAAAAAAAAATTTTCCCTGGAACCTAAACTCTCCCCCTCTCCACCCATTTACATTAATTCTTATGGGGAAATTGGATTCGCTTCACATCGTTTCACTTACAGTTGATTTTTCAGGAACAGAACGACCACGTTAAGTGAGGAGTTACTGTACCTGTATGGCCCTGAGGATGTCACATGGGCCGCAGCTGTGGGTTGATTGGGCCACAGGTGGCCTGCGGGCCATGGGTTGAGAACCACTGGGCTAGAGATTATTTTTTTTAAATGAAAGTTTCGACTGTGGCCCACAACATGGAAGCCTTCAGTGAGAAATGGTTGTGCTTGAAGGACTCAATCCAAAGCTGCTCAGCACCTTGGAGGATCTAGTCCCCAGTTGCCATGAAGGAACCCAACCCGTCCACTGATTTTCAAATACCTCCATGAGGAAGGTACCATAAGTAGGTAATATCCTCATTTTACTGAGGAGGCCCCCATTGGGTCAGACTAATGGTCCATCTAGTCCAGTACCCTGGCTTTGGACCATTGGTCTGACCCATTTTGATGGATAATACTGATGTTTATTTTTAAGTTATTGGGTTTTTTTTAAAGATTTTTATTTCTTTAAATTTTCATAATTGTGGGAACTTATGGGAGGGCCAGAAAATAGAGGGGGTGGGGTTTAGACACTATCTATTTAATGACAGTAGATGTTGATGTCCAAAAAGTTAAAGTTTTATAACTGTGAAACCATAAACTGTGAATTTCACAGGTCAAAAATATACCAAGTAAATATCCTTAAATCAAACTAGGCTTGAATAAAGACTGGGAGTGGATGTGTCATTACACAAAGTAAAACTATTTCCCCATGTTTATTCCCCCTCTCCACCCTCCCCCGTTCCTCACAGGTTCTTGTCAACTGCTGGAAATGGCCCACCTTGACTATCACTACAAAAGGTTTTTTTTCTTTCCTGCTGATAACAGCCTTACCTGATCATTCTCGTTACAGTGTGTATGGTAACTACCCATTGTTTCATGTTCTCTGTGTATATAAAATCTCCCCACTGTATTTTCCACTGCATGCATCCGATGAAGTGGGCTGTAGCTCATGAAAGCTTATGCTCAGATAAATTGGTTAGTCTCTATTGGAGCCACTCACTCTCCTGCTGAAAGTTTGAGAGTGAGTTTGTGTGTGGGGGGGCGGAGGGTGAGAAAACCTGGATTTGTGCTGGAAATGGCCCAACTTGATTATCATACACATTGTAAGGAGAGTGATCACTTTAGATAAGCTATTACCAGCAGGAGAGTGGGGTGGGAGGAGGTATTGTTTCATGGTCTCTGTGTATATAATGTCTTCTGCAGTTTCCACAGTATGCATCCGATGAAGTGAGCTGTAGCTCACGAAAGCTCATTCTCAAATAAATTGGTTAGTCTCTAAGGTGCCACAAGTCCTCCTTTTCTTCATGTTCCTATAGAGACACCAACCAACCATGGGCCTGATTTGCCACTGCCAGCCACATAGTGTACTGTATTCAGAGTAACAGCCGTGTTAGTCTGTATCTGCAAAAAGAAAAGGAGGACTTGTGGCACCTTAGAGACTAACCAATTTATTCGAGCATAAGCTTTCCTGAGCTACAGCTCACTTCGTCGGATGCATGCAGTGGAAAATACAGTGGGGAGATTTATATACACAGAGAACATGAAACAATCATGCCAGTGCAAATTGAGTATCAAACAGGGAGCTCTTCAAAGAGATTTAGGCATGTAACTCCCATTGGTTTCAGTGGGAAGTAGGGCCTGTGGCTGTCTCTTAACTCTGGGCCCGCGGCACCTTCCATGCTGGGACCCTGACTGCAGCTGGGGCTTCCCGCTGTCACCCTGACACAAATCAGGGATAACGACAATAATGATTTAAAAAATAATAATAATTAAAGAGAACCCAGGAGTCCTGGCTTCCGGCTCTGTGCTGCAGGCAGGGCTCGGTGAGTGTTTTGGATTGGTTCCCCGGCAGGGACCTATGCCCTCACGCCCGTGCACGGTGCATTACTCCGAAAGCCGCCGCAGGGAGGTTTGCAGCTGGGCCCGGGGCCAGCACCGCATCCCGTGCAAAGCGCCCGGCCGCCCGCCGGCGGCAGGGGGCAGCAGCAGAAAACTACAAGTCCCAGAGGCCTTTGCGCCGGCCGTTTGGCCCCGCCCCCGGCTCTGACGCAGGTAGGCTGAGCAGAGGGGGGGTGGTCACCCAGCGCCGGAGCCGCACGCGCGGTGGTCGGGGTCCGGGTCCGCGAGCCGGGGGGGGAGGGATCAGCCCCCGCCCCTCAGTGAGCAGGGGCTGCTGGGACTTGTAGTTCGGGGCCGGGCCAGCCGCGGGCCATGGAAGGGTCGCTAGCCAGCGGCTCCAGGCTGGGGGAGGTCGGTGAGTGAGTCCTGCACCCTGCGAGGGGGGAGATTTTGGGGGGGCTCTTCTCCCAGTGGAGGGGAAAAGGGTGATTTGGGGGGCAGGGGGCTTGTCCCCCAGGAGGATGGGGGGAGCGCCTGTTCCCATTGGGGGTGGCCCCTGCGACCTAGGAGTGGGGGTGCCTGCTTCTGGGGGGGAAGGGGGGAGTGATGTGGGGAGGCCCTGCTCCCTGGGGAAGGAGGGAGGGGAGCCATTGGGGGCCAGGGGCTCTGCTCCCTAGGGAGGGCCAGGGGTGCCTCGGGAGGAATTTGCAGAGCCCCAAGAAGACCTGTGGGGGTAGGGGGGAGAGCCCCTGCCCCCGTGACACGCTCTCCTGCAGGGCAGGACGATTCCGAGCAGAATGAAGGACGTTGTACGCCCGGGTGCTGGGGCGTATCCCCACGCTGCAGCGGACGCAATGCACCTGCTCCGGGGTGCCATGGTGGGTTAGGAGCAGCGATCTGCAGGGACTCGGGTGGGCTGGCAGCCGCAGGTCGGGGTCCCGCTGGTGCCAGATGCCTTGAGCGGCTGCACCGCACCGTTCGGAGCGTCCGCGCTGCCGTGTAGTTGTGCACACAAGGCTACAATGAGCAGGCTCGGTTTTCCGGGAGCTGAACGGCCCTATCTGTGTCGCGAGAATAATGGCCTTCAGCCACGGGCAGCGTGCTTTTCTTCTTTGGCTCCGGAATGGCCCGTCTCACCTCCAGCCCTGCTGCTAGCCAGGGAGGGCTGCTCCTTAGCAAACAGCCTGCCCTCTCCTGGGCCAGGTTCCCCTCTCACTTACAGCGATGTAAATCAGGATTATTGCCATTAAACACAAAATATCTTTCCTCCGAGTGGGGTGAGGAAATGGAGGTCCCAAAAGACTACAGCGTATAGGTGTGCTGTGAAAACACCAAAACCCTTAATAACAGAAAAGAAGAACTAAGGATTAGGGCAACAATGCACCCAAGTTGTAAATGCATCATATTTGCTGCTTTTTGCGGCAACGTTCATGACTCTGCAGCTTTGCATTGAGCAGCGGAGCTTCAATCCAGTAGCAGATACAGCTGGACAGTTTACAGGGAGGGTCCAGCCTTTTCCATGATGTGGGCACCTCCACGGGCAACATGCAGACCAGACATCATCTGTGTGGCATGACCTCACGTGTACGGGGTGTGCAAGGTCAGGCTGCGCGGTGGGTGCCGTTTTGTGGCCGGCCGAGGTGCCGTGCAACTGTGCTCGAGGCCCATGTCCCTGAAAAGGTTGGAGCACCCTGATACACGCTCATTAAAACCCCCTGCGAGGCAGGCTTGTCACCACCTCACCTTAAATCTCTTCACCCTGCCTTCCCACCCCTGGCACCATGGAGTGCTTGCTTCTCAGGGGCTGTGTGGAAGGGCATTTCAGCATGGGGCCTATAGCATGTTGTTCTTCTTGGTGCCCTGGTAGTGGCTTTTATGCACACAGCTCCACCATGCAGGTTACTTCTGCCCTTAGCACCAGTAATCTGTGGAGGGGCCATATGTGGCGATGCTTGGAGAGGAGGAAGAATTGCATGAAAACACAGCAGCAGCTGACTGAAGACAAAATGCAAATTAATGCTACTGGCTTCTTTTCCGAGGATTTGGGATGTGTCGTCCCCATTTGAATAGAGGCAGAATGCGTCCTGTTAAAAGGCATCACATCTAGATTGAAAGAGCCCAGGGCTGTTCTGCGTTTGTCACTAACTCTATAAGCAAAATACACTTAGGCAGAGACACTGCTGCCTTTGTTTCATACAGCAACCATTTTAATAACCGTAATACTGTGTAGTCAGAGAGCACATTCACACAAGGATTGCAACACATTTGACAAATAGTAATGAAACCCTCCAGTATTCCAGCTTTTATACATGGGGTCCTGGTAGCACACAGAAGTGAAAGTGACTTACCCAGGGCTATGCACTGAGTCATTAGCAGAGGTGGGACTAGAACCCCCAAACGCTTAGTTTCTTATTCAAGCCACTGGCCCATGCTCATTCTCCTCCCAATAAAGCGAGTTGTCTCCAGCCCACAGACTATCATTCACATTCTCTCCTTTCTCCCCAGGCTTCTGGGCTGATAGGACGCCTGTTCATGAAGCAGCCAGGAGGGGAGAGATCCTGCAGCTGCAGCAGCTGATAGCAAATGGTGCCTGCGTAAACCTGGTCACTTACGACTCTATCACCCCCTTGCATGAGGCGAGCCTGCGTGGTCAGACGCAGTGTGTGAAACTCTTGCTTGCTGCAGGGGCCCAGGTTTGTAATAAATTCGAGGGTTCCTTCCCTGTCCCCCCGGCCTTTTGCTCTTGATTACCCTTCTACAAATCCAATTCAATAAGTGACATTATGTCCCCTGAAGGGGAAAATTTTTAGCTGTGCTGTCCTTGCTATGGGCCAAGCCTTCGCTGAAATCAGTGGGACGTGAGGTTCTTATAGAGTCACAGTTGAGTCTTGCCCTTCTGGATCAGTGCACGTCAGCCGTGCTATCCAAAGTGATCACTAAGTGGCCTAGGGAGCAGCAGGAAAAGCAACTGGAGTGGATTCTCTGGCAAGTTTTGTATTTTATTGCTATGTTCCTTTTAGTACTTCCCTTAGCTCTGTTCTAGGAACAAAAGACCTGGCTCACTTTAGAGTGACGGGATCATACTCAAGCTAGGTTGGTGACAATATCCACCGGCTGGTTCCTGCCTTTTGCAGGGTTAGAGAGTGTGTGTTAAAGACCTAGGCAAGCGAGCACTGGCATACAGCTGCCTCTGAGTCAATACTATCTTTCGGCCTTCTAGGTAGATGCCAGGAACATAGATGGCAGCACTCCGCTCTGTGACGCTTGTGCGTCGGGCAGTATTGAATGTGTGAAAGTGCTCCTGTCCCATGGAGCGAAGGTGAATCCTCCGCTCTACACGGCATCCCCTCTCCATGAAGCCTGCATGAATGGTGAGCCCGCAAGATCCACACTCACACCCATGGCAGCTGCAAAGGGCCTGAAATAACCGTAAGATTCCGTTGTTCATCAGACTGTAACAGCTGGAAAGTATCTCCTGTCGTCTCTTTTTGTTAAGATTAGTTGTGTGGTTTTAAGGCCCATTGTGTCAGGAGAGATCCTGCTGAAGTCGGAATGAAAAACTCTGCGGGACTGGGCAAATAAAGAAATTGTAGGTATAAGGCAGTTGGACACCATGTGATGGACACAATAGAAAATCCTAGCTAGGTAGGACAACAACTTCCATTATTTGTTAATGTAGCCCGGAAGAAGTCCCTACGTTGGGCCCACCCCATGACCTCTCCGTTTGTTACACTCCCATCAAAATCAGATTTGAGTCGAGGGAAGGTTGATCTTCCAGTGAAGGTGCTGGACTGGAACTCAAGACCAGTGATTAGTTCCCAGATCTGGCATAGACTCCCTGTGTGACCTTGGCCAAGTCTCTTATTTCCTCTGTGCTTCACTTTCCCCCTCTGTACATTGGGTGTGATAACACTTCCTTCACCCACCCTTTGCCTGTCCCGTTGGATTGTATGATGTTAGAGGCAGGGGTTATCTCCCACTGTGAGGTCACTGGGAGCTGTCAGGTGCTTAGCACTTTTGAAAGTCTGACATGTGCTTAAATAGCTAATGTTAGGCTCCTAATTTTTGAAATCCTTGGCATGAGCACTCTTATGAAGGTTCAGCCCGGTTAGATGACTCAGTCCATCCCCCTTGGAGCATAGTCTGCCCAAGTTTAGCTGAGTCTAGCTTCAAAGGACTCGAGCAACAGGGCTTCTACCTCTTCCTATGGATGACCGTGTCACTGTCCGTTAGATTTAGCCCAACAGGGAAAAATACACCCAAGCCTTTGCGCTTAATGTCCCAAATGTTAATGGTACTCTTAGGGTAGGTCTACACAGCATGGGCTAGCCTGCCGGGGTTAGCTTAGATCCAGCCAGCATGGATAACAGTACCAGTGAAGACAGCGCAACGCGGGCTTCAGCACCGGTAGTACAAGCTTGGTGTAGACCCTGGGTACATACTTGGGTTACAATCCACTGCGGGGTCTTCAGTGCTGTTACTGTGCTAGTTGGATTCAAGCTCGCTTCTGCAGCATACACATACTCTTAGGCCAAGCTGAGACAAAGCACGTGGAAGTTCCCCTCAAAGCCAGGCTGTTTCCCACTGATCAGTTCTCTTTTCAAAGGGAGTTCGGCCTGCGTGCAGCTCCTGATAGACGTCGGTGCGAACCTGGAGGCCCACGATTGCCACTTCGGAACCCCTCTGCATGTAGCCTGTGCCCGGGAGCATCTGGATTGTGTGAAGTTACTGCTCAATGCCGGTATGGCACACCGGAGGTGTTGGTTTCAGTGTACGCAGTACCTAGTGGCGATGTTTGTGCGATGCTCACTTCTTGTATCTGTTCTTGGGCTCAGAAGAGAAAAGTTATTTTAGAAGAAGTTTATTAATTCACGGAGCCCTTGAAATGGACATGATTATGTCCTCAGAGTGTCTGCCAGACAAAATAAATATATACAGAAGGGCTTTTCTTCTGGGCAAAGCAATGCACCTATTTAGCCATTTTTGGAAGGCTTCCAGCTTAGGCAGATTAATATCCGTGTCATAAACTCTCCTGTTTAGTTCAGTGGCATTTAGCTGTTCCTATTTTGTTAATAACCAAACCATTCCAGCATCCTAGAATAATGTCTCAACGCACTCTTAATAATGGTGTTGGATCAATATTGGTAATTTTTTTTTTAAGGTTGAAGATAGAGGAGAGCTGGAAAGAGAGACATATTGGGGTTTGATGTACAACAAAACATTAGGTCCCTGGTGTGATTTGATTGGAGTTACACCAGAGATGGATTCGGCCAGGGGATATTCAAGTAACATTGCATGCTCCAAGTTTCACATCCAGGGTCCCTGGCCGTAGGAACCAGAGCTAGTTCTGAGTCAAATCACCAGAGCCAAGCACCTCCGAACTTTGTTGACGTTTTGGTATGGATTTGGACTTTGTGTCTTGGGTCCGTCCTTGTCAGGAACTCATGTGACCCGCAGTATCCACCTATCAGTTCAATAGAAAGGGTAGCAGGAAGAGATGGGGGAGTGAGGATACCCTTCTGGCTTGAGTTTACCTGTTCACACTTTCTTAGCAGAAATGAGAACGAACAAGATTTGGTAAACGGTTGATGCATGCTGAAGGGCATCTAGATCTCCAGATCTCAAAATCCCAGCGTAACGAGATGTTTCTGTTAAAATGACCAGCACTTAAATAGTTAACAATGCGGACATCAGTAAGTTTCAGATTGAACAACCCATTGAGAAGAACTGGGCAGTTCCTAGCTGGTTTCAGACTGTGTAGACTCAGGACAGCAGCACTGCATAGGTTACATTCTGAAGCTTGTTTTCATAGCTATATCAGCTAACAATCTCGATGTAAGGAAAACATACGCCTGCTAAAATACATGAGGTGCTAACTCTAACTACTGGCTCAAGCCTGGTCTATACTTAAACGTAGGTCAAAATAGCTGCGGTGCTCAGGGGTGTGAAAAATCCATGTCCCTGAGTGCCGTAGCTATCTCTGACCTAACCCCCAGCTAGGTTGACAGATCTACCATCACTTGGGGAAATGGAATTCCTACAGCGATGGAAAAATCCCTTCTGTCACCACAGGACATACACTGCAGGGTTATGCCACTGTAGCTTCGGCGCCGTAGCTATGCCGCTATAGTGTAGACAGTCCCTTGGTCTTTCAACTGATTGGTGGAACCTCATTTAGAGGCTTTACACCAATTGAGTGGTAATTTGGTCAGGTAAGAGATGACTTAACCAGAGTAAAGGTGGCTATATCGGGGCCTTAATAAACTCATTTTGTTTATGCTCCCAGGGGCAAATGTGAATGCAGCTAAACTTCACGAGACAGCCCTTCACCATGCAGCCAAGGTGAAAAATGTGGATCTGGTACAGATGCTGGTTGAATTTGGAGGAAACATTTATGCCCAGGACAACCGAGGGAAGAAACCATCCGACTACACGTGTAGGAGCAGCCAGACTGCTAAGTGCTTGGAATACTATGAAAGTAAGTGGGGCTCGGTCCCATCTCCCACAGCTGTGCTAGAATTCATTTCCTCTTCCGCAGGCTGGGTCATCATAATGGTCCTTTCCTGCCTTAAAATCTATACATCTTAGGGCTGCCATTTTCTCCCCATCTCATAATCTGCTTGTTCCTCATGGAACTGGAAAAGGTTAAGAAAAGGGCAACAAAAATGACTAGGGGTATGGAACAGTTTCCATATGAGGAGAGATTACTAAGACTGGGACTTTTCAGCTTGGAAAAGAGACGACTAAGGGGGGATATGATTGAGGTCTATAAAATCATGACTGTTGTGGAGAAAGTAAATAAGGAAGTGTTATTGACTCCTTCTCATAACACAAGAACTAGGGGTCACCAAATGAAATGAATAGGCAGCAGGCTTAAAACAAGCAAAAGGAAGTATTTCTTCACACAGTGCACAGTCAACCTGTGGAACTCCTTGCCAGAGGATGTTGTGAAGGCGAAGCCTATAACAGGGTTAAAAAAAGAACTAAATAAGTTCATGGAGGATAGGTCCATCAATGGCTATTAGCCAGGATGGGCAGGGAGGGTGTCCCTAGCCTCTGTTTGCCAGAAGCTGGGAATGGGCGACAGGGGATGGATCACTTGATGATGATCTGTTCTGTTCATTCCCTCTGGGACACCTGGCACTGGCCTCTGTCGGAAGACAGGATACTGGGCTAGGTGGACCTTTGGTCTGACCCAGTATGGCTGTTCCTATGTTCTTATTCTGTTCTCCTGCGTAATAGTCTTTCCTCTAGCTGGGAGACAAGGTGGGTGAGGTAATATCTTTTATTGGACCAACTTCTGTTGGTGGAAGGGAGACGCTTTTGAGCTTTGCTTAGCTCTTCCTCTGGCCTGTGAACCTACTGCGTTCCTTTGGTGCTCAGCTCACACTAAGTGGGGGAGTTCACACCTCTTCATTGCTGTGGCCGTCACATGTCAATTCCGTGACCCCTCTGGACCAGGAGTCTGGTGACCCGTCTCAAACTGTTCATCTCTGCATGGGAACCTGGTGCTGTCCCACACCGAGCTTCCCATGAGAATAGGTTAAAGCATGTAAGAGTGTGCACCATGAAGGGTGGAAGAAGAGGAAGTGTGTGCGTTTGTGTTTGTTTCAGTTTGAAACACACCTGGATTGGGGCCTGGGAGGCACCTCCTCTAACATCAAAAATTAGAGACCTAAATGGAAAAATTGTGATTTATTTAAAATCCAGCATCTGATTCTTTGTTTGTTTGAATTCTCTCTCCACATGCAATTCTCTCATGCCCACCTTTAAAGGGAACAGATTAGCCTCTCTCTCATTAATATTATTCTCTCTCTTGCTTGTGACCCTAAGCAAGAGGGAATCGGCATTTTGCTGATTATCCCCAACCTTCCCACAAGATTACAAAGAAGTGGTACGGCCTGCTAGGGAGCGAGCACCTCAAGGTTCTTTCCCTGGAATCCAGTCTCAAAGAACAGGGTAAAGGTTCCTCCCACTTCTCCCGGCTGAGCTGTGCCTCTGAGAGCCAGCCCCACGCAGTACTGTCATGCAGTCAACGAAGAGAAGAGCCTCTGGTCTGGTACCCGCCCGCTGAATGATCCCGGAGTGCTGCAGTAGGGAATGATGTTGCATTGTTTGTGGGTGCGGTGAGCAGGAACTGCTGGCTGGGAGTGTGGGTGTGGTAGTGAGTGAGATTTGAAATTGAGCCGTTACCACCGCTTTTCCGTGCACTGCGAAGCCCATCTGGAATCCTGTGAACTCTGCGGATCCCGTCGAGGCCTGGTGTAAGCGGAAACAGCCTCGTGACTTTGATGGGAGCTGTGCCGGCTGAGTTTGGCCTCCATCCATAGGCACCGACTTTTACTTTTCCCCGGGGGTGCTGTGCCCTGAGGCCCCGCCCTCACCCCGCCCCTTCTCCCAGGCCCCGCCCTCACCCCGCCCCCTCACACAACGCTCCACCCTCACTCCGCCACTTCCCACTCCCCCCCTCCCCCCAAGACCCCCTCCCACCCGCTGCTCACTGGTTTCCACTCTCCCGCAAGCCGCTCCCTGAGCTGCCAAACAACTATTTGGCAGTGCAGCCTATCAGGTGATCGGCAGCACTGCCGAATAGCTGTGGCTGGTGGATGCTGAGCGTCTGCTATTTTTTTTTCCCATGGGTGCTCCAGCCCCAGAGCACCCACACAATCGGCACCTTTGTCGGTCTGTGAAGAGTTCTGCGCTTGGCAGAATTAAGAGCCTTCTGCCGAGCTGGCACAGTGACGCTGCTGATTTTTTTTTGTCGTTTCAGAAATGCCCCTGAGTTTGTCGCAGCTCTGCAGAGTTACCTGCGGAAAGCCACCGGCCAGCAAGGGCTGGCGAAGATTGCCAAGTTAAATATTCCTCTGCCATTAATGAAATACCTCTCGTACAACTGACCGAAAGAAGGCGACCTTGCAGGACGATATCGTTAGACCCCACAAGATGAAGTATCTTGAATCTTTCTCTCTCTCTCTGTCTCCCTCCCTTCCCCTCCCCATAAGAAGTCCCTTTAATTTAAGTTAATTTATGTAAGTACTGTTTCTGAGGCAGCACATCCCCCGGCATCCCATCATGTGACTGAGAGTTTTGACAAAGACAATAACTTAGATCTTGTGTAGATCCAGGCTTTTAGCTAGTAATTAGGGCTGTCAAGCGTTTAAAAAAAATTAATTGCGATTAATCGTGCGATTATTTTTTTTAATTAATCGCGCTGTTAAATAGTAATAGAATACTATTTATTTAAATATTTTTGGATGTTTTCTACATTTTCAAATATATTGATTTCAGTTACAACACAGAATACAAAGTGTACAGCGCTCACTTTATATTTATTTTTGATTACAAATATTTGCACTGTAAAAAACAAAATAAATAGTATTTTTTCAATTCACCTCATACAGGTACTGTAGGTGCAGTCTCTTTATCATGAAAGTTGAACTTACAAATGTAGAATTATGTACAAAAAACCTCTGCATTCAAAAATAAAACAACATCAAACTTTAGAGCCTACAAGTCCACTCAGTCCTACTTCACCCAATCGCTCAGACAAACAACTTTGGTTCCAATTTGCAGGATATAATGCTGCCCTCTTCTTATTTACAAGATCACCTGAAAGTGAGAACAGGCATTCGCATGGCACTGTTGTAGCCATCGTTGCAAGATATTTATATGCCAGATACGCTAAGGATTCGTATGTTCCTTAATGCTTCAACCACCATTCCAGAAGACGTGTCCATGCTGATGACGGGTTCTGCTCGATAACGATCCAAAGCAGAACAGTCTGACGCATGTTCATTTTCATCATCTGAGTCAGATGCCACCAGCAGAAGGTTGATTTTCTTTTTTGGTGGTTCTTGTTCTGTAGTTTCCGCATCGGAGTGTTGCTCTTTAAGACTTTTGAAAGCATGCTCTACACCCTGTCCCTCTCAGATTTTGGACGGTACTTCAGATTCTTAAACCTTAGGTCGAGTGCTGTACCTATCCTTAGAAATCTCACATTGGTACCTTCTTTGCGTTTTGTCAGATCTGCAGCGAAAGTGTTCTTAAAACAAACATGTGCTGGGTCATCATCTGAGACTGCTATGACATGAAACATAGAGCAGAATGCGAGTAAAACAGAGCAGGAGATATACAATTTTCCCCCAAGGAGTTCAGTCACAAATTTAATTAACACGTTTTTTTTAACGAGCGTCATCAGCAGGGAAGCATGTCCTCTGGAATGGTGGCCGAAGCATGAAGGGGCATACGAATGTTTAGCATATCTGGCAAGTAAATACCTTGCAACGCCGGCTACAAAAGTGCCATGCAAATGCCTGTTCTCACTTTCAGGTGACATTGTAAATAAAAAGCAGGCGGCATTATCTCCTGTAAATGTAAACAAACTTGTTTGTCTTAGCAATTGATTGAACAAGAAGTAGGACTGAGTGGACTTGTAGGCTCTAAAGTGTTACATTGTTTTATTTTTGAGTGCAGTTATGTAACAAAAAAAAATCTACATTTGGAAATTACACTTTCATGATAGAGATTGCACTACAGTACTTGTATGGGGTGAATTGAAAAATGCTATTTATTTTTTATAGTGCAAATATTTGTAATAAAAAATAAATATAAAGTGAGCACTCTACACTTTGTAATCTGTTGTAGTAGAAATCAATATATTTGAAAATGTAGAAAAACATCCAAAATATTTAATAAACTTCAGTTTGTATTCTATTGTTTTAACAGTGCGATTAATCACGATTAATTTTTTTAATCACAGTTAATTTTTTTGAGTTAACCGTGTGAGTTAACTGTGATTAATCGACAGCCCTACTAGTAATCTTTTTACACTAGAGATTCTGCCAGACCGCTACCCCCATTGGAGTCTACTCTACAATGCCTTTTGCTCCTGAAGGGGTAATGGCGAATCAGAAAGGTAGTAGGGGATAATTATCTGGGTGCCCTAATTAGACACAAATTCCACTTTTAGGCCAGAGGCTGTCAGCAGGCCTCCCAAGTCATGCAATGCAACTCTCGGCAGGCCTCATCCAGAGCCCATCACCATCTCTGGGTGTCTTTCCAGTGACTTCATTGTATCTGCTTTCATAGTTTTGGAGGTGCGGCCTACTGAGATAACAACCAATCCCAGCATGCAGTGCTCCATCTGGATCTGAGCGACCAGCCTGATGGCAGCTGCAGCCATTTCAATTTGATGTAAAAGTAGTTTCAGCTCACTGATTCTGGCAGGTGACCAGTGCAGCAACGGTCTTGGGCAATATTTGGGCACCCCGTCTACAGGCCAGATTTTATCCTCCGAGGAACAATTTGCAGCACAGCTATACAATCTGATAACAAATCCATTCATGCACCAGTGACCAGAGGCACCGACTTTGAGAGGTCCTGGGGGGGTGCTTGACCCCCAGGCCTTGCCCCACTCCACCCCTTCCTCCAAGCCCCCACCCCCACCCTGTCTCTTCCCACCCTGTTTTCCTCCTTCTCCACCCCTGCTCCTCCCCTTCCCCCGCAGGGCCCCCTGCACGCCACTGAACAGCTGATCACCGGCAGGCAGGAGGTGCTGGGGGGAGGGGGGTAGGTGGCTGCCAGTGGGTGCTGAGCACCCATTAATTTTTTCCATGGGTGCTCCAGCCCCGGAGCACCCACGGAGTCGGCACCTATGCCAGAGACAGGGATGTACCGATGAGCTCTGACTAGGCTTTTAAGATTTTTCACTCTGAGGTTGCCTCTTGTTTCAGCTACTCCTTTAGATGTTTGCCCTGGCACAGGGTCTGGTCCCCTGCCATATAGCTGCATATTGTCAATGTTGATTTCCTCTGTTCTTTACAAACTGTCACAGCGTCCTTTTGATATTTAATCCTTCTGGGTGAGGTTAGATTAGAAGCAGAGCAAAAGTCTTAGTCTCCCTTAACATGTGTGATTTCATTGACCTGAAATCTGAAGGCAGCTGGCCACTTTAGTGAGTACCGCATTAGCAGGGTCTAGTCTTCTTGATGCATGTCTGGTAAGTGTTAGCACATTGAGATGAGAATAAAACCCATCCTCTTAATGATCCTGGGCTCGTGGAACCCTCTAAGGGTGTCTAACATGGCATAAAACTAGATCAGTTTTCAGAGTTGCAGCCGTGTTAGTCTGTATCCACAAGAAGAACAGTACTCCTGTTCTTTTAACTAGACCAGTGGTTCTCAAACGCTGTCACATGGTGGACTGCTACTTAAAATCTTATAGCTTACTCCTCCCCCCCGGCCATCAATCTTAATCTTACACTTTCCCTGTTGCAACTGCAGTGCTATGCTACATGGGGAAAATAGTATGAGGGCAGTATTAGGAAGATGAGATGAAAATATTTTCAATTTAAAGGTGACCTGCAAATGATTTTTTAAACATTGGCTTCATGCCCCCCCTCCCCCTACACACACTTTTCTTTTTTCTGCTGCATGGTATATAAAGAAAATCTGAAGGGTTTTTCATAGCTATATAAAATTCTGCTTGGATTTTTACATGGGAAATATCAAGTTTGCCGGGTTTTGCTGGAGAAGCTCTGGGAGGTCTTAGAGATGTGTAGTGTGGGCTCTTTTGCCTTAACTGGAGGGACAAGGCAGTTGAATCTTTAACAAAAGCTTCCTGTATCCAAAATATGAATTAGTCATTGGAATCGGACAGGTGTCCAGAACGCTAAACGAGAACCAAACTGCTTTCATCAGTCTGGCTCAGAATCCCTCCCCATCTCAGCAGCTCAGTCTTCACTATCTTGTCCCATTTCACTAGGTCTCCAGTCACCACAGGGTCTTCCAGCTCCGACAGGACCTGAGTTTCCGGTATAAAAAAATCAAGCAGAAACAAACAAATCCCTTTCATGTCATCTTTATTTTCCCCTTTGCAGGTCACCTCCAGTGTGAGTGCCACTGTTTGGTTATGTCTCTCTTCCATTTTATCTGCGCTGTTCATTTCCTCTCCCTGGGCTTCTGGGAATTTATCCTCGGCCTCTCTCATCCCATGTGATCATAGTTGAATGTATGCCAAAAAGGAGCCAATAAAGACTTATCAGTAGACCCAAGCTCCTTTGCAGAAACCCAGCTGGGCACAGGGCACCAAAGGAGATCTGGCAGGGATTCCCAAGCGTGCACAAAACACACTTCTTAGGGGAAGACGGGACTGCTGCTTGTTCCAGCCGTGCATGCTGCAGCACTGTGATGCAAAGCAGCTCCCTGGACTGCCTGGAAGTGCTTTGAGAACCAGGGGACTAGGAGACAATCTGTAGTTGTTGACCTGTTTGTAATGGGGCTGAGTCAGGCAAGATGGGCTCAGGCCAATAACCGGTGATGACCTAGCTGTTTGAGATAGCATTGACCTGAAGAGGAAGGTGATTGTACTCAGGAATTGCTGGGCGAGATTCTCTTGCCTGGGGTATGCAGAGATCAGACTAGAGATGGTCATAATAATGGTTTCTTCTGGCCTTGGAATCTATAAATCTACCTCCAGTTAGCAAGTGGCAGTAGGGCAAGCTAATTGACCCAATCCCAGGTAAACAAGAAGCTGCAGAGGATGTCTTTTTATTCCCCCCGCTCAAGATGGCCCTAAAACAAGGGGAAGTGGACTCAGTACTCCATCGTCTGTCACAGTCCGGTCCCTTCGCTAACTATCCGCTAGCGAGAGCACCCTTGTCAGCTGTCTGAGCAGCGGCAGCACCAGGCGTAAAGAACAAGATAGAGACTGCCCGACAGGTGTCTGAGCTGAGCTTGGGCGCTCTCGCTCATTGCCTGATACCTAGCCTGGCTGCCTGCATGTGATGGCAGCCTGCGATAATAGTACCTAGCTCTTTATAGAGGGCTTTTCAGCAGTAGGTCTCAAAGTGCTTTAGCATTATCCCCATTTTACAGCTGGGGAAGCTGAGGCACAGAGGGGTGAAGGGACTTGCCCGACATCACCCAGCAGCCTAGTGGCAGTGCCAGGAACACAACCCAAGTCTTCTGCATATTCTACTTGTTCTTCTGCATGTTCTACCCATTTCAACAATGGGTGAAGTGACTCCTGATTTGTAAAGAGCTTTGGGGCGAAAGACGCAACCTAAATCTCCAATATTAAGTCTTTTCCGAGTCTCCTGGGCTGGGTCTGTTTAGGTTACACCCGTAGCTTTGTCTTCATGCAGGGTTTGATCATTTACCTTCCTTTGCTTTTGTTTGTGATTAGGAATGTGTAATCAAAGCGCACATCCAGTGCAAATAAAATCAACCCCCCCCCACACACACACACACCAGCTCGTGCTCCATATGTTCCTTTCAACCCGTGCCAGGGAAGGAAGAGATGAATCTGCAAATGCAGC